AAAAAGTAAAAAAAAAAAATGAATTTTTAGTATAAAAATCTAACAAACGTATAAAAATTTTTTTTAATTTACAAAAAACGAGACATCGAGTTTAAAAAAAAATGTCGTTTTATATATCAAATGTAAATTATTATTATTACAATAACTTAATTATAAATAATTAAAGAATCACATTATCACGTAATAAAATATAACACTTAATAATAATAATGATGATGATAATAATAATAAATTCTCATGATATTTATTATTAAAATGTGTTACGAACATAAAAGATTCGTTCTAGAATTTTCCCATTGACGACTAGAATTCATAAAATTATGGAAATGATTCGAAGAAAAGGAATCGACGGATTGTTGTTGTTGTTGTTGTTTTTCATTGTCGTTCCATAAACTAAAAAAAAAAAAAAAAAAAAAAAAACATTAATAATAATAGCAAAGCCCAAAGAAAACTGAAGAGCAAATGGGAAGAGAAAAAAGTTGCGTGGGCAATATCCAAAAAGAGTAAACGCCTCAGATGGTAACAAGAAAAGCATGGACAACTGGTTAAGGCGTGGTAAGCTAAAGGTTGAAACGGAAGAGGTTTAAACAGTTGCCAACTGTGCCAGCCAACAAACCGGATATCATCTGAAAGGTGGTGTAAGCTAATTGAAGTCTCTCTACCGTCGGAAAGAAGCGGACAAAAGGTTGAAATAGCTAAGATGTGGGGAGTAAAAACAAAAACTAATCCAGCCATCGTGGAAGCAGACTGAGAGCGATGCCACCACATCAATAAAAGGAAATTTAAAGAAGATTTTGAAGAATTTAAAGAAGAAACCGGAACAGGAAATGGCGTTGTGTGTGTGTGTGAAACACAAACGAAAGGAAAACTTACTTGGAATAATTCATTTTATCCGACGTTTCATCATCATCATCATCAAAAGATTCCTAAAAGAAAAAAAATAGAAAGAGATAGAGAGTCATTTAATTAATAATAATAAAGAAATTTAATGAATCCTTTGAATAAATATTCTCTCACCCATGTTTTTATCCTGTTTCTACTTATTTCCGTTTTAAAATCAATCAAAAGCGCCGTTTCCGTTACTTTATTATTATAATCATTTTTCCTATTTAATAATAAATCATTGTCTAATTTTTCTTTTCTTCTAGAATTTCCATCATCATCCGTTGATATAATGAGTTTGGCTTTATGTATATCATCCGCAAGAAGATCGTAAGCATTTCGAAAAACTTTTGCGAGAGTTAACGACATCACTTGAGCCTGTTTAAACAAAAAAAAATTATTATTATTATTATATATATATTGGAAATAAAAATTTAAGGTACTTACCGTTTTCCTTTTTGGACAAAGAAAAGCGTGGCATTCCATTGTGTTGTTATCGTTTGTTGCAATGAAGGCAAATACCTGACTGTGTGATGCATCGGCCGAACAATATGAAATACTAAAAAATAATATCAATTAATATATATCAGACATAATATACCTGCAATCAACGATAGAATACGTACCTGTATATGGATATATCTAAATGAATTTCTTCCGTTGGAATATTAACGACTTTTATACCTTGAAGACCGAGAAAAACAATAACTCTTTGTAATTTTTTACCACCGACTTTTGACATTGATAATATTGTTTTTATTGCTTCTGCTGTTGTTTCTTCGCTTGATGCTTTTTCAACTAATGTGCTCCCCAAATATTTCGCTCTGAACATGACTTCATCTTCAGATGATTCCGACGTCACAGGAGTTTCCGTATCAAATGTTTCTGCTAATGTTTTTTCATCGTATAATTCTAATAACAACAGGAAAAACATTAATAAATTTTTTTTAAAAAAACAATTCAAACGGAAATGGAAAACATTTTCATGAATAATAAAAAAAAAAAAAAAAAATTTAAATATTCATTTCATTTTTTTTTCGGGGTTAAAACAAACAAAATAATAATAATAATAATAAGAATAATCATTATGTTTGTTCTCATTTTTTTTTAATTTATATGTTTGTGTTGTTTTCCCGACAAATAATAATAATAATAAAACCGAACAACATTATAAAAAGTTTTCCTCGTATTATTTCAAATAAATCGAATATAAATCGGTAACGAATACTGGAAAATTGATAATAATAATAATAATAATAAATTTTCAACAATAAAAATTTTAATAAAAAAAAATTGCAACAATAATAATAATAATTTTTTTTTTATTCGTAATCTTCTAAATATTTTTCCCCGTAATAAAAAAAAAAAAAAAATAAATTTTATCAGGACATATTAAGGTTATTAAACATAATAATAATAATGATAATATAAAATACATACATAAATATATATGCATAAGTATAAAATGACATAAAAATAAATTAAATAATAAAATAAAATTCAAAGGGGGCACCATAACGTAAATATACATATGTAAAATTTCAAGGTTTTTATACATATGTATGCGAATTTATGTATGTTATTATGTACATAGGTATAAATTATTAATATTTATAAACATTTAAAAACGACATTTTTTTTTTTTTAATAAAATTTCACATACACCTCGTTAATTCTCCCCTCCCCACCCCCGTGTTACTACTACCCGTCGTCGTATTTGATAACAATTTTTAAAAAATTTGATTTATTTTTAATAATAATAATAATAATATAATTTAATAAGTTATAAATTATAGGAAATATTTGGCCGAAAACATCAGACGTCTGGTGTCGGCAAATCATCCAAATAAAAAAAATTTTCTTAGACCGATAAAAAAAGGTTAAAGGTTATTATACAAAGTAATTTAAAAGGTGAAAGTTCATTATTTTGACATTTTTCTAACCTATCTTGTTAGACTTTCGGTTGAATGTTTTTTTTATCAACGCACACACACACACATATGTAAAGACAAAGCACGTTCAGGAAGTGTTTATTATTATTATTATTATTATTATTATTATTAGCTGACATTAAGAGTAAATTTCTTCACGTTTAAAAAAAAAAAAAAAATTGATTTCAAAACAACAACAAAACCGAGGAAGAAAACATTCATCTGTAATGTTATCAAACATAATTATGTTATATCAAACATTTAATAACACAATCGTCGCATCTACAAAAATGACGACACAAAATAATAATAATAATATGAGGGAAAATATCTCAGAAAATAAAACAAAATGCATTCCATTGTAGCAAAAACTAAATATAAACTTTTGTAATAAAAATTTATAATTAATAATTTATTTTTATTATATATATATATATATATATATATATATATATATATATATATATATATATATTAAAATTAATTAATCACCTGTTAGATAAGGACAAAGACAACATTTAATAATAATAATAATAATAATGATGATGAAAATTATTTAAATTTTAATGATTATGTCTTGTGTAAAGTTCTCTTCTTTAAATAAAAAACATTATCATTATGATTGTAGTTAAAAAAAAAAATTTAAATAGTAATAACGAGTTTGTTGTTTGTTACAATAATAATAATAATAATAATATTTAAAAAAAAGAAGAAAAGGAAAAGGAAAAGGTGTGTCACACACACAAACAACAGAATGGACATCAAATAATAATGATTGAAATCGAGGTCATCGGGATAAGAAAAAAAATGATTTTTTATATTCACAAACCAACCTGAAACCTTGGATCTTATTTAAATGTTTTTTTAAATTTAAATTTATTTAATTCTTTTGCTAATTAATTAAAAAAAAAAAAATTATTGAACGAGTATAAATAAATAAATTATTTAATAAATTTAAATTTTCAATTTTTTTTTTATTTTTTTTTTGATGAGGGGTAAATTAAATAAAACCGTTTTTTTAACTTTGAACTTCCGGTTTTCAAAAAAAAAATACACACACACTTCCTTTCAACAACACTTAATACATCAATTATATTAATTTTATTTCATTTAAAATGTTTTTTATTTAAATAAATAAATAAATAAAATTTATTAAAAACTAACTTTAGTTTTTTCAACCATAATTGTTTTTTAATTCGTCACGTATATAAACAATTACGGGGAGGGGGGGGGTAATTTAATTTAAATTAATCAATATTTAAATTTTTAAATAAATAATAAAAAAATAATAATAATAATTTTTCCAGGGAGTTTTTTTTTAAAACAAATAACCAAAAAAAAAAAAAAAAATCGATTATATGAAAATCCGTGTTTGCATGCAACCAATCACCAGCTGTAAAATTCTCAAAAATAGCTTAGCTGGTCAATAACAGGATATTAAATAAAAAAAAAAAACTGGCGACCATTTTAAATTGTTTAAACACAAAAATAAAATAAGACGACATATTTTTAATTAAATTTTTTCTTTTTTTTTTAAATATATAAATTTTTAAACAAAAGAAAGTAAAAAAAAAACTTACTTTTATGCTTTAAGTTTCCTTTCCAAATCGATTTGAAAAACGACATTTTTTTTTTTTTTTTTAAATTTTAATATTTCGTTTTAGTTTTTCCACTCGACTGACTACTACTACTAATGACAATGATTTTATTAATTTTATTTTCGATTAATTTATTTATAAATAATCGAAATAAAATAAATAAAATTCAAATGATTATTATTCACCCTCAAAACTGGTTTGATTGCCAATATTTAACTGAACTCAACGGACATTTGTATCACTGTCTAATAGTTTTTAAAACTGCCGATTGGAGCGCTAGTTGTATACGTAACTGCGTAATTATATTTATCGTCTGCTACTTTTCTTTTTGGCGCCAAAAAAAAAATCTCTAACGAATTATTATGATAATCCTTTAAAAAAAATCCAAATTATTGATATTATTTGCAGTGATTGTTAACATATTATAAATAAATAAAACTTATACATATCCATAATTCTAAAAAAATTTTATAAATACGTTTTGTAAACGAAAAATCGGTTAAAGCTTAGATAATAATAACAGATTAGATTATAATAATAATAATGATAAAAGATTAAATGGATAAAAGATGCTTTAAAATTTGTTTATTATTTACTTTATGTAATAATTATGTACGAGAAATGTAACAACTTGGAAATAGACATTTTCCTTTCTATTATTATTATTATTCAAACATTTTGGTTAAGATGAATTCTTTATAGGGATGCTGTCTGACATTTTAATCATTCTTATCAATTTGTATAGACATTTGTAAACAATTACTATCACAGAAACGTCTTTAAATAAAACAAAATAATTTTCTTCTCTATCTATTAATAGAAATTTTATTAAATAATTAATTACCTTATAAATTACCCCGCAGGGCTTAACCCAAACAGTAATTTTTTTTTTTGACACTAACCTTCACCCAAAAAACAAATCCATTCAAAAGTTTTGTCACTTTTTTGTAATGTTTAAAGTCTATTAATAAAGTCACACTTTTTTTTTTTTTTTTTTTTTTTAATAAAAAGGTTAAAGATCATGAATGATTTCTCATCTGGCTCATCACATAATCAATGGCGGTCATCAAGATATCCAGAAATGGTTCATTTATTTTCAACCAGAAATGACCAAAATGATGCAAGTTATTTCCAAATTATTATTATTATTATTATTATTATTATTATTATTATTAGGACATGTGATACATATACATAAACAAAATAATAACAACGCAAAAAAAATCTTTTAAACAAACAAAGTCCCCTGTTTACAATATTTTCTACAATAAATTTATATAAGGACAAAAAAGTAAATGATAAATTTTTTCTTTTTGTTTGTTTTTTTATTTATATATGAATATTTATCATCATCATCATCATCATCATCATCATCATTATTATCATCATGCACAAACAAAACAAAAACATATATAATAAGCGCCAGAAAAAGGAAAAATTTTTAAATATTTTAATTTATATATTTATATAAATCATTATTATTAATATACCTAAATATTATTTTATATAATATACTAATATTGATTTTATTTTAATTCTTATTACTTGTGCGAAAATAATAATAATAATAATAACAATATATCTCTAACACTCAACTATGTGTTTGTGTGTTTGTGTACATTTTACAATGAGGTGTTTTTTTTTTTTTGGGGGGGGGGGAGGGGCGGGAAGTTCAATTATTGACACCGTACTTTGACATGATGTTAACTGACGTCACGGACAATGATAACAACTCTATTATCAGCGGTCAAAAATTTTTTAGGTTATTTAAAATCGTAGAAAATTTATTTAATATAGTTTACCAATTTAAACGCCTTAAATTAATAAAAAATATGTGAGGTGTGTTCAAAAATAAATAAATAAAATTTTAACAAACAAAATTATCTACAAATAATAATAATATTATTATATATATATATATATATTAAATGATTGGCAATATAAGCATTTTATTACAAATAAGAAATAAACATTATCTTTGTGTGTGTGTGTGTGTTTATATATATCCTATTATATATATTATAAATATAATTTATCAAATTTTTAATTCTCAATTCATTTTTTTTTTTAAATTATTATTATTATAAAACATGAAAACATTTTACAAACAAACAGAAAAAAAAAGTAAAAGATTATACAAGATGAAAAAATGAAAAAACTGGAATGTATGTTGTTTCAAATGTTTCAAAAAAACTGGAAAAGAAAAGAGACAAGAGAGAAAAAACCTCAAAAAAACCTTTTTTATTATTATTATTATTATTATTATTATTATCCGTCAATTACATTTTATGTCAGATAAAAAAAAAAAAAAAACTACAACAACCTATTATAAAAGACGACGTTAATCACACAAACGTAAATAAAAGCAAAGCCCACAAATTTTTTCGTTTCTATCATATTATTAAAAATAAGTTAAGATGGCGGATAATAAAAGCCGTTAAAAGTAATCGATTGGAAAAAAAATTTTTTTTTTTTATATCGACATTTAGTAAAGGACGGACTCCTCCTTCTCTTATAAATAATTTTTTTTTTTGAACCTTATTCCTTTCCTCTCTCTCTCTCTCTCTTTTCTTTTAAAACTCTCAACATATTTGGCACGTATACCTTTCCATACAAACCACTATGTCAAAAAAGTAAAATAATAATAATAATAATAATCTCGTTTGTTAGGGGGGGGGGGAAATTAAGCGTTCGTTGAAAAAAAAAATTTTTACGCGACCTTATGATGAGATGATGATGATGACGAAGATCGTCGTCGCCTCCTCGTCTTTGTCAATTCTTGTCACGCACTCGTTTCTTGTTCTCCCCAACCTTCGCTATCATATTCGCTTTCGGATCCAGATTCGGAATCTGAAAATTCCATAGCGACTCTTCTTGCCAGTATCGATGCCACGTCGTGCAACGCATTAACACGCTCAACTTCTTTTTGTTCAATTTTTTCAACTTTTCTTAATTTAATACCTTAAAATTTAGGTTTTGTTAAAGGGTTAATGGTAAATCTCAAAATATAAGCATAAATGAAATAAAATTTGAGGAAAACTTACCGTCGCGAATGGCTTTAAGCAAATCATTTCTAGGATCGAGAATCGGAGTAGGCTGAGACGGCTTCCTCGCGGGATCGATCGTTTTCGGAGGAGAAGCTTTCGGTGGAGAAGAAGAAGATACGATTTGTTGTTTTAAAGGAGATTTACCCACGTCACCGTTAAGAAGAGGAGTTGATGATTTCGCCGGGCCGTTAGCGACAACGGGGAAAGGAGGAGGGGGTGGAGGAGGTGGCGGAGGCGGAGGAATACTAGCAGGAGGAGAGGCGGAAACAGGCGGAGGCGGAGGAAGGTCCTTAACGGGTTCGCTAGAGTTTGAATGAAGCTGAGGGCTGGCGGGTCGGCTGCCGGCACTGTTTTGCCGTGAAAACAAATGGGATCCACCAACGGGGCCGTTGACGTTAGAAGAAGCCATGACTGTTTCGCTGGGAGGCGGCGGCGGAGGCGGAAGTTGTTCACGTCCGGCACTCATGCTCCGACCTCTCGTGGGAGTGTTATTATTAGACGAAATGGTCGGTGTGCTGGTAGCGGAATTTGGAGCGCTTGGAGGAGCGGGTGGCGGTTGAGAGGGTCTAGTCGAATTTATTCTAGAACCTCCGTTGCGACTAGGAGTATGATTATTAGACTGGGAGTCTGGATAGTCAATTCCGGTAACTGGCTTACCACCCGGACCGTAATGTGATTGATACTGGTATATTGATTCGTCGTAGCCCATGCCATAATTTGATCTACGTATAAAAAAAAAATATATATATATTATTTGTACATTGCGTGTACCACACATTATTTATATATATATTTTGATTAAAACTTACCGATAATGAATTTCCGTAATATTTGAGCTTTGGATGTGTCTCGGACTGTAAACCCCTCCGCTATTTTCATCAGGGTAATTTCTCCTAAGTTCTATGCTATTAGGTCTAGGGGGTCGCGGATCCATAACAACCATTTTATCCATTCCTAATAAAGCTTCGTCTGGATTAGCCGGAGGTTGAGGCGTTCTATTACATAACAATAAAGATATATTTAAGTTAAAATTAATAATTAATTTTATCATCAAAAAAAAAAAATTTTTTTTTACCTGTAATGAATGTTTTGGGGCATTATGTACTCTCCATGACCGACAGCTATTTCTCTTTGTCTTTCTCTCGTGTTGTGTGGTTGCCTTACTCTTTTTTTGTGTCTTCCACCACTTCCTTCTGTTTTTGGTCGATGCGGCTGATAATAAAAACAAAAAAAATGTCATTCAAGAGTTTCACGATGTATAATTTTACTTAAAACTATTAAAATTTTCCACTAAATTTAAAAAAACTTATGTAAGATTAATGTACGAAAAAAAAAGAAAGCGAAATGAGGGAAATGAAATTTCATTTTTTTAAATAATTGTGAAGTTATTTTACCAACACAATCGCATTCATCTTCAGTTTTCTGAAGAGGAAAACTCAATTTGGCAACAACTATAAACAATTAGCATGAATGTATATAGATTGTGAAATTGTGCTAGAAAAGCTTTTATAAAAATTAATAATACAAGTAAAAAAAAAAAAAAAAAGATGTTAGTTTAGTAGAAAGGCTTTACAAAAACAACAAAAACAACAATAATAATAATATTATTTGTCATTATTATTATTATTACTGGGGGTAAAAAAAAAAAAAACAAAATAAATTATTTTACATGGATTATTTAGTAGTGTGCATAGCACTCAAGTAAAACTTTAAAAAAGCTTAAAACTTATAAATTTTTTACTTGAGAACAATATAAATATATTAAAATTAAGACTCATCTAAACTTTATGCTTAGTAGGAGTTAATTAAAAATCTGCAAACATTAATATAATAATAATAATAATAATAGGTTATTTATATATGTGTGTAAAAAGAGGAGTTAAAAGTTAATTAATTATAATAATAATAATAATAATATTCGCATATATATATATATATGAATAACTAAAACTTGAGCCAAAATTACGAACATTAACGAATTTAAAACTGTTAAAATACTTTAACAGAGAATTTTGAATTGAGCAAATTATTATTGGCTTTAATAATTGACTTGCCTTGTAAATCAACGAACGAAGTGAATAATTTGGAGGGGTCGGGAGCCCCTAAAAAACAATACAAAATTTTCATTGTTTGCCTTATTATCACGCTTATTTTATCATTTGAAAAAAAAAAAAGAAGAGGTGAAAAAAAAATAATAATAAATAATAAAGATAAAATGGCATGCAAAATCTGTCGGCCTATCAAACCTTTTTGCCTCTGTCATGCATCATTCTCTCTGTGTCCTTCAACATTTCCTGCCTCCATAAATCAAAAAAGTAATTTGGATCCGTATAAAACTTGAGTCCATCTTTTCCATCTTCCCTGTAAAAGACAAAAAATAATAAAATTAGAATTTAATACGGTTTGCTGAAACGAGGATTGATAATGCTGGTGAATAAAAACTTACCTGTAGGGATTCAATTTATCTAAGGGTGGAGGTTTATCGCATAATTGATAAGTTTCGAGCATTGCTATGGGCATGGTCTCCCTTGAAAATATTTGCTGATCGAATACAACTGAGCTTTTAAAGGCTTTACGCATATGAATATCCTGGAGAGAAACTGAAAAAAAAAAAAAAAAGAAATTGTAAATGTCAATTTAAAAAAAAAAAAAAAAAAAAAAAAACTCATTATAAAAATTCTCACCCTCTTCCACGGTGCTATCAAGTTGAGTCACTTTTATTGCGAGTCGATCGATTCTTGCTTGAAGACTATTTGCTCTTGCCGATAAACCGTGGGCTTCTCTAGCCAATTCACCAAACAAATCTTCTGCATGTCTACTCAGACTAGATAACTGTCTGACAGTATTGGCCAAAGTCCCATTTGTTGCAGCCTCTAATTCCGATGGCAATGGATAACCGTCAGGTATTGTATTCCTGGACACGTGAACGGGTTCCACTACTCTTTTTGGAAGCGGCATTATTTTTTTTTTTTTTTTTTTTTTAAATCTAAATAATTATATTATTTCTGAAAAAGAAAGACAACATTCATATAATGGCAACCTTATTAAGGTACACCAATAAATCAAATTCATAATTTTAACTGTTATCACTCGATGATAAAAATAATGAATATTTTTAATAACAAATTAAACGATATTTAAATCCTAGCCCCACCATCAACTTTACAAAATTATAAATGTGTATGTTTGAATTAACACTGCCTCATATCAAAACTTCAATTAACAATAATAATAATAATAATAATAATAAAACAAGAAAATTCACAAAAACCTAATTTATGAAAAAAAAAAAAAAAAAAATTCTTCGACAAAGACATTCATGCATGAAAGTAAAACCTTTGAATATAAATTTCTGATAACATTAACTACTTCAATTCATGAAAGTTAACAATTAAATATAATTTAATGAAAAAAACATTTTTTATGAATGGCTTCTATTCTATAACAAAAGTTTTGTATAAAATTTAAAATGCCACATGGTACAAATTTATATGTAATAAATCGAACTTAAAAAAAAATTTGTAATACTACACCACATGATTTATCGATAAAACATTTTCTTTATTTTGTAAAGAACACTAATAAAACAATTACAATTTGTAAAAAAAGTTTTTCGTAATACAAAAAAAAAACAATTTAAAAACAACAACTAATAAATTTTTTAACACAGAATAAATTAAAAAAATAAACAGAATAACAAACCAAACATTTCGTGATATTGAACAGAAAACCCCAGGGAGGATTCACAAAATTTATCAGTTTTAAGTCAACAATGAAGAGATTAAATTTTGATAATTATAAATATTTAATATACAAATATACTCAAAATTAATTATATACTCGCTGTGATCCTAACACAATAATAAATAAGAATAATGAAGCAGTATTTGTTTTTTTATCATTACGAAAACAACTGGTAAACTTCGACAAAAATTAAAAAATTTTTCCCAATCGTAAAAAAAATTACTAAAAAAAATTAAAACGAAAATGAGAAGAAAAAATGATAAACTTCACAAAAATATCAAAACCTGTAATTTCCATAGTATTTCACTAAAAATATAAATAGATAAGTATAACAGAAGTTTTTTTCATTATATAATTGATTTGAATAAAACAAATTAATTATATGCAAATATATTTAATAAAAAAAATTAATTCTACTATTGTGGAAAAATAATGAAAAATATAATAAAAAATAATATACCACAAATAATACAGTTATTAGAATAATCAAGATAAAAAGTTGTAGGTCATTGTTAAAATTAAATGTAATTTATAAAAAATGTACATAATTAAAAAAAGAAAAATTTTTAAAAATGAAAAAAAAAATTATAAAAAAGAAACAATAAAAAAATTTTTTTTAAAAAATAAAACGAAAAAGACCTCAATTGTAGTATGAGTAAACCTCAATAATTTATATATTGGTAAAATTATATTTATAAAATAATGTAGGCTCGAAAATAAAATTTGAAAAATAAATTTAAAAAATTCACTATTTAATTTCAGTAAAAATAAAATTATTTTATTTTTATATTAATAATAAAATAATAAAAATTATAAATTGATTAAAAGAAAAAAAAAAAAAAATTTTTTTTTTTTTCCATCATAACATTTTTAAAGGGTAGGGCATGAAAACGGTTAACCTTTCACCAAGGTGGGTAATTAGAATTTAAAATGATAAACGTGCAAATTAATCGTTTAGATTCTTACCATTTCAAATGAAAAAAAATAAATAAACACATTGTTTGTAAATTTAATTTATAAACAACAAATTAAAATTAGTTTTGTAAATAAGACATAACTTAGACCTGATTACACTCAAGACAAACACATAATATGGCGTTATCTTGATTTTCACCGTTGCCAACCAAGCAAATACTAAAAAAAATCAAAGCCTCCGCTATTAATCCAAAATGGCGGCGCATTTATTTCAATTCAATATGGCGGCCGTGTTTTTATTTCAATTCAAAATGGCGGCCGTGTATTTATTTATTTTTTAGTATTTTTAAAAGAAATAATGTGTAATTAACGGTTTAATATAAACGAAAAAACAAAAAAAATACAAATTGTTTATTAATCAATCATTTTACCTCCATTTAAACAACTTATACGCATTTTAAATAGTTATTATTTAAATGTATTTATGTAAACAAAAAATTTTCATTTTAGAATCATGTTGTATTATTGTATTTTTATTAATGATCTGTTTTATATTATTAATATAAATATTATTCACAGTAGTTAAAAAGTCTACAACATATCTTTATGAGTGAAAATTTTGTATATATTAATTAACTTTTACTTTCATGATGTCATTAATGTATTTACTTCGACATTTTCATAAATTTTTATATGTTTTTAAATATATACATATAAATTTGTTATGGTTGTGAGGAGTATTTTCATTTGTTTTTTTCACACTACCATGAACATAACATGTAAACAATTAAAAACATTAAAGAATCAATTTAATTTCAATGAAATGTAAAACATTATATAAGATGTTTTAATTATTTGTCGTTTTTCGAGGTTGAAAAAATTTTTTAATAAATTACAAAATATATTATAACTACTGATGTCAGAGTATTAACATTAATTGTTAACGTCTTAAAATCATGATATGTATTATAATATGAATTTAACAATCAATATAATAAATCATCAATGATAATAATAGTAAAAAATTTTTTTTTTAAAAATTATTTTAACCTTAACTCAGTCATCTTTTGCCTTGAATTTTTAAACTCAATGTATTTCATTTTATCATTTGAGCAAAATGAGCAAATTGAACAAAAAAATATATGCAATTAAATAACATTTCGAATATCAATTTAAAAAAACAAACATTTAACTAAACTTCAAGTCGTTTTAATTTTACCTTTTTATTTACATTAAAAAAAATTACAAAATATATATCACAAATGTAATTAATAAATTTATTATTCTACCTACACAATAAATAAAAAAAAAAAATAAAATTTAACTTTTTTGTTATTATCAATGATGATTTTTTTAAAAAAAAAAAAAAAAAATGATTTGTTTGTTTAATATACATTATTAATTTATTAAGGTTAATTTTTTTTTTTTTTGTAATTATGTTGGATCTCTAATTAAAAAAAAAAAAACTCTTTAAAACCGGCTGGAAATAAAATGAATTTTTTTTTTTTTTTGTATTAAAAAATCACACAATATGTTTGAACTAGAGAAGATTCTAGGTCAATTGTTGTTGCTATGTGAGCTCTCATTGGTCGATATCTCAGCTTCGTTCTCATTCGTTAATTTTAAACAAATGCCGGTTCCGTGAATAACTCCCCACTTAACCCCCGTTTCATGTTTCTTTATGTTTTCATAAATCAGCCGTTGTCATAAGCTAAACACGCGTGTAACAGGTTATTTTCCCCTATAATTTCAGCTGATAATCAGCTGTTTCAATTGTCATTTTTTTTTTTCTTTTTTTTTTCTTTTTTTTTTTTTTTTTTTTGTAAAAATGAAACAGTTTAAAGTTAAGCTCCTGAGAGGGACGTGTCGGTGGTTCTCATTTTAAAATTTCGGTTGTACAAAACAGTGTAAATGTTATTATTATTATTATTATTATTATTAAACAATCAAACCTTAATAAATAAATAAATAAATAAAAAACCTCCTAAAAAAAAAAAAAAAAAAACATACCGTGAAGTATTTATGTTAAATCCTATTTATGTTATTAATTAAATAAAACAAAAAAATGAAAAATCAACAACAACAACAGCAACATCAACAGCACAACATAGAAAATTTTTTCCAAGAGTCTTCCTATCGTGATTCGAAATTACAGGAAGTTTTTAATAAAATATCAAATATTTGGCAACATCAAACAAATCCTTCTGTATCAATAAAAGAAAAACTTTCGTCGGAAGTCATTGAAACCGTTCTTCCCGAAAGGAGTCGAATACCTATTATACAAGGTAAATAATAATAATAATAATTTTTTTTTATAATAATGATAATATTCTTCCCCCCTTAACAAATAATTCATTATTATTATTATTATTATTATTATTACATTTTTGTATGCCTGATTTTTTTTTCTTTTTCGGGGGTAGTTAGTTAGTAGTCGACCCGTTAGTAGTTTACCCCTTGATGTTTCGACGGCACAACATTAGTAGGAACAAAGAAATTGTGTCCGGGCGTGCGCTCTTTACCCTAAAATTTTCCAAAACAGCTGTTAGAAAAAAAAAAAAGAGAGAGAGAGAGAGAGAGAGAAAGAGAGAGAGAAGCCAGGAGAATAAATTCCTTTTTCTTTCTCCTCCTCTCCTTTTCTATATTTCTTTGTTTAAGTTTTCTCCTTTTTCTTTCTTTCTTTCTTTCCTTCTTCCTTCTTCCTTTTTTACTGACTTAGACATATTACAATAATAATAATAATAATAATAATGAAATTAATTTATCATGAGATTTAATTTTTATTATTATTATTATTATCATTGGTGCCGTATAAAATATATCTTTTGTTTATTATTATTTTTTTTTTTTAATTTAATTTAATTTTCCCTTATATTATTATTATTATTATTATTATTATTAGATTTCGTGTAATTTTTACATTTAAAAAAAATTTTCAATAAGGATTTTTATATCGACGTTATAATTTTATGACTCCCAAGTAACTTTTATCGTTATTATCATTATTATTATATATTATTGTTATTGTTAGGAGGTTTCTGACGTTTATTTTTTTTTAGAAAATTTTCCAATGTGTAAATTCTCTTCCGGAAAATTATTAACGTGTATAATGAAATATCTTTTAAATTTCAAGTTAATAAATTAAAAAATAAATAATTTTTTTTTTTTTTTTTTTTTTTGGGTTGTTTTGTAACGAATTCTAGTTTAACCGAAAAAAAAATAGAAAGAAATAGAAATAGAAATAGAAAAAAAAAAAAAAAACATAAATATGGAGTTAATAAAATAGAAAGGTGACATAGAGAGAGAGAGATAGAGAAACCCAGGAGGTTTTTTGCATCATCCTAATCTACGGTCACGTACACTTTCACCTTCTCGTAAGCTAAACACTTATTTAAAACAATGCTCGTCGAAATTGCCGGTGATTTTTTGAACACCGGCTTGGCACGTAGACCAGAGTGTTTAAATAAAAACCGGGGAAATGAGAATCGTAAGATGACGTGGGTTGACATAGTTTTTCCCTATACTTTTTCGGATCTTTATTATTTGTCGTGAGAAAAGTTTTTGTTAAAAAGACCTCGCTCGTAATGATTTTTCAAATGTTACAAACCACCTTTCCTTTGTTACGAAAAGAAAAAAAAAAAAAAAATTATTATTACAGCTCGGTGTAATAAAACAGAAAGCCAGTTGACATCGTGAAGTTGAACGAAGAGGTTGTGCAAGGGAGAAAAGAAAGAAGGAAGGGAAAAATAAAAAAATAAAAAATAATTCAGTGTGCTGTGGTTGCGATTTTCTTTGTTCAACCGAATTGAATTTTTTTTTTTTTTTTTTTTGCTTAACCGTTAAAACCGTGAAGTTTGAATTTTGTTTAAATTGTTTTTTTTTTTTTATTTGTGATATTTTTTTTTTTAAATAATAATAATTATTAAAATGGAAGTTTTTCCGTATCCGGTTAGCGTCGATTTTTCAAATTTTCGAGGTGAGTTTTTTTTTTTTTTTTTTTTTTTTTTCTATCGATACCTATGATATAATTACGTGCAGTAATGTTAGTTTTTTGTAAAGTGAAAGTCATAGAGTAAAAAAAATTCGAAAACCGATAATTTTTTTTTTTTGAAATTTCATAAATGTAAAAAAAAAAGTCGGTTACGAAAAAGAAAATCGTTACAAAAATGCTTTTAAAAATGAAATTTTTTTTTTTTGCATTAAAATAATATTCAAGTTTAACTGCACAAAAAATTAATTATTAAATCCGCCATATTTGAATTTTATATTTAACGGTCGGCGTTCGTTCGTTCGTTCGAATTAACCGAAAAATATAAATTTAAGTTTCTCTCTCTCTCTCTCTCTTTCTTTCTCTATTCAAAAAAAAAAAAAAAAAAGAATGAAATTGATTATATCGTAAATCGAATAATGTGTGTTTGTGTCGGTATTATTTTACATATTTTAATTCATTTATCGTTAAATCGACGGTTTGTTTGTTTGTTTGTTGTTGTTGCGTTTGTCGTTGTCGTTTGAGAAAATTTTTAATTTTTCCTACTCGATTGGTTTCCCCTGCCCGGTTTTGTCGAAGGATAGAATAATAAGGAGGTACTTACTATTATTTAAGGTGGTTACCAAGGTCCGGAAGACGAAGCTGACACAAGCGTAACGCAAGCGTTAACTCGCCGATTGGAAGACGAACTCCGTGCGGCTAAATCGGCTCAATTATCATGCGGAGAAGTTTTGCTTCCATCTGATCTCTTACCCCGAATCGCTCGCGATGTGATAAGAATGGCAGAAAATGAACCTTGCGGATTAAGGTGAGGAACACTAGTCAACCTGATGATGATAATAATAATATATATTAATAATAATAATAAAATAATAATGATGATTTTTTTTTTTTCTGTGTTTGTTTCTCCAAACAGGGGTTGCACTTTGTTTGTCAGTTTTGAAGCGTCAGACGTGCATAGGAAAATAAGTACAATTAAATGTGATCCTCACACCGTATCAACGTTTGAATTATATTTAACATTAAAACAAGATTCGAGTTCTTGGCATTCGCTCCTTCCTCAATTTTTAAAGTGAGTACACGCACGCACCCACCCCACACCCCCCACATTTATATAATTAAT